ATTATATAAGTACTTGCATTATTTTTTTTTCAAAAACCCCTGGCAAACCATCTAAGTTCTAATATTTTTTAATGTATTGTGTTATTAAAGAAGTTTATCTGTAATTTGTTTTATTTATCATCTAAAGGCCCGCAATGTTGAATAAAAATCGTTCTTTTACTTAAAACTATTGACAGCGGTTGATTTGTTTTCTTCTAAAACGCTTAAGGTATTTTTTTTTTTGTAATTTATTTAACCGCGTTAATGAGTTCGGTACGTGAGATAAGTAACTGTCGTCATTTATTTTCACCACCACATCGCACCACTCTATTGTTTTACTTTATGTTAGCTACTTAAAGCATTTTTAAGCTTAATTATACCATGAAAATGTTTATTACCGCTCATGTAAAAGCGCGTCTACGACTAAAACAACAAATGACGTCTGGCTTGTCATGACTTCGTTAAAAAATATGAAAGCTATCTAAAATAATTAAAAATAAACGCCTTTTTAATATATTATGCGTCTATTAAGGACCGTCAAAGAAGAGAAAATGCTTAAAAATTACCAGAAAAATACCAACCAGACAGACAAACATATATAAATATATGTATTATATAAACAAAATAATAATGTATTGTTATCATCATGTTACAAACAAAAGTATAACATTATATTTGTTGTACGATTGTTGTGAAGATTAATGAATGTTATAAGCATTTGTTGCTCATATAACAATAATTAAACATTGTCGTGTATGACATGATATTAAGTACAATAGAGAGATTAATGTGTTCCTGAGAGCATTTAACGTCGTTTATGTTACCTACTCTTATTTATATAATAAGAGTTACAAATAATGTAATAAAAAAGTTTAAAAAAATGGTTTACAGACAAAAGAAAACATTTTAATAGACTTTAAAAAAATGTCCGGTTTGTGGACTTAATGCTGTTTGTGATAATGTACAACATTAATATAAATATTCGTTAAGTTATTATTATTTATATTATGATTATCATTAAGTACGCATTGGCTCTTTCTCAAGCCCGACGCGATTTATTGTTTTACAGTTTTCATTGTTTCTTCACATCATACCACCACAAACGTTGCCGAATTCAAAATATATTTTTTGGTTTCTGTTTTTATTGCTGTCATATTCATAAGCGTAATACCGAACACATCTATACAAAAGCTATTATCCTGCAAATAACACTGTTCGGGCACTGGCAATAAAATGGTTTATTATGTAGTTTACCGCCCAATGGTATTATATAATAATTTCGGCGCCCCAATTCAAATCTCCAACAACTCAAAACAACTTTTTTCGAGTCCCGTTTAGCAAGTACCGTCTTTCACTTTAAATGTATACAACCAGACGGTAACAATAGCGACGCAGGAATTTCGTTTCCCTTTAATCAAATGCTTTTATGGCTTTTTCTTTCACTATCAATGAGTAATTTTAACTTTGTCTTATAACGGAATTCAAAAGGGCGTTGTTATCCATGTTCTTTGATATATATTTCTGGTAATAAAGAAGCACTTTTGTACAATTTGTACGCATGAATAAAATCTGTTTCAATAAGACCACCAAGTTGCATAGCCAAGTCTCAGAATATAAAATTTGAAACAAAGCACTTGTTTTGTAATAATGTATTATACCTCAAGTAAAGCGAACAAGTAGCTCGGTGAAACGGCGCCCTGTATAGGCAATTTAAAAGCATTTCTGCATCGATTGAAACGTTCATGTAACCAAAAATAAAAGTCTAGGTCCATTGTCTTATAGTGCTTTTAATTTAACAATCGCTTTCCAGTCGGTACGATTCTCGTTCAACTTGGTTCAGAAATTCGTACTGATTTTTGAAAAGAAGTACATAACAATTTTAAAATACCTAAATTGGATTCCGCCAAATTCAAAATAAATGCATTTATAACAATTTAAAAAAATAGCAAAAACAAGTGATATTTTTGGACACTTAATGTTTATTTGAACGTAAGAAATATAAATGTTGATACTTTTCAAAAAGAACCGTGTCCGCTGATCTAACATACAAACGGTGTTGTGTTTCCATGTAAACAAAAAAAATAGTTAGCACAAGTCACTGAGGTGATGCAATTTGACGGGTTGTGTCAGTTTATTTTTAAATTAAAAACATTATGCACAAAACTAAATCCCAAACGATAACATTCGCATGCGATACCAGTGGTATTATTTAAACTGACACGTTTGAAGAATAAATATTAAAAAAAGTGTTTTTACGTAATTCAGTACCTGATGGGTATTTAAATTAAATTTTATGGCGTATTAAATCAATGTTTCCTGACTATTTTTCAACTATTTTTAATGTTTTTATTAAGACTTTAAACTGATAAAAAAACCTATTCCTTAAACTCACAATCAGTCAACTATAGTAATATTATAAATATTCCGTTTATAGTAATATTTAAATTATTATAATATTATTTTATATTTTAATTCTATTATTATAATAAAAAATGCTTGAAAGTTATTATATATAGTTGTTTTAAGTTGGTTATTTTGTAATTATAATTTAATGGACGGCATAAGCACTTAAATATTTTAAGTTAAGTTAATTATAACGTTTTACATCTTTGCCATAAAATTGAGTTTATGGTTTTTGATGGTTTGTTCAATTTACTTTGACGGGTTACAGATTTTCCGGTTATTCGTGAAAAATGTTATTATACAACGGTTTTCTTAATTCGATTATATTGTATATACTCGTATAGGCACTTTTATCACTGTCATTTTTCGCACATAAATTTATTTATAAAACTGATAAAAAAAATTAATTTAAGTGCTATTAGAGTGTACGAGCGATGGACATTGTTAAAATGTAATTATCAAAATTTACAACGCGTCCCAACCGATTAGAGACATTGGATAAGTTCAGATAAGAAAAACCGAGATGTCACCCGTGGTACTAGTTAATCCTTTCTTAATCGTAAACATCATTATTGGCAACGGTTTGAATGATTGCGTTTGCCATTACCGAAAAGCGACGCGTCGTTCAAGGAAATGAACATGCTATAATAGGATTCCAGAAAAATAATCCAAGCCGAAACACTTCAGTAAGAAGTCGGTAAACAGCGTTAGGGTGTAATAACGCTTTAAGCTCTTGTAGGCATTCGGAATTAGCGAGTAGTCATCCATCAAACCTCCTTTAACACGCTTTTACTAATACACAAACGAGACGCCCGACATTCATCAATATAAAAACAACTTTAAATATTACCACGTTATTACAACTAAGTACGCAGATGGCAGAGTAATGGCTTCAGTTCCACTTTATATACGTTTTCCAGATTGAACAGATGCAACATTTTTACATTAAAAATAGTAATGATAAATAAGTGAATGTGAATGTGACATTGTCAAATTGAACTCAAATTGTTTGCCAAAAATTAAGACTACACGACGGTATAACTGATCTAAAATACTCAAACTTCTTTAATCCGTTCAACGCTTGCTTTCTAAGCGTAACATGTTAAAAACAGACAATCAAACTAAACGACATGTAATCTACCATTCTCGTGCTATCACACTTCCATTGCAATTACTATTAGTTTGGAATAATGACTTGATAAAATGATCAAGAGTCAAAGTATGCGTTTTACCAAAATAATTGTCCTCGTGTACACAAGCCGTGCGCTTGGCAATAGCTGATAGCATATAAATAAACACAGCCTGGCATTTTATGGATATAATGTAGCTAAGGATTTAGAGAAACTTAACCAAGCCAGCCAATAATAGTTATAAAAGTTATACAAATACATATTATTATGGTGGACTTAAGGGTTTATTTCACCGTAGGATTATTTAAGTATGTAATTGGAATTTCTGGAATTCAAAAAGGACCGTTGGTTCGATTAACACCAAAAGCAGGTATTTGTACTAACCGCAGAAGTTGTTAAATAGTTTTATGAAATAGTGTAATGAATCGAACGCGGCTGTTTGGCTGCTATTATTTAATGTAACAAACCGCATAAAGTTACATTACCATACCTTTACAAGTGCTTTTTAATGTAGCTAAACAAACTTGGACAGGTAATCTCGCACTTGCACGGCCCTTATTATTGGGCAAATTCCATTCATAATAGTTTCCAACCATCTAGATCATGTACAACCAAATTTATGATTTCTTGAAAAGCTATTAATAGTATTATATTTGTCATTAGAAAACTTTACAATCGACATATAATTATCGTTATTAACTCATAAAAAATGCGTAAGTTACTAATAAACTGAATTTGTTTTTTATGTCAAAATGAGACCTTGGATTATATGTATAAATTATGTGAATTTAAAAAAAAAATTAAAACTGATACTTGAATCTCCATTTTAATAGATTATTGTTCTGAGAATAAATAAACGTTGATCAGAATAAATCAGTTTACCCACTACACAACAAATTGAAATTCTAGTGTATATTTTTATAGAAGCTTTTATATGTAAATTGAACAGATCAATAATAAACAACAATAACAATAAATAAATTAAAATGATGTCGGGACTTCATATAATTCTGTTTACATGACTATTTAGATAATGGCGCGGTCGCCTATACAATAAACACATACTTTCTTGTCAGTCTCCTACTTCCCATCAAAACTTAAGAGATGGCATATTTAATTTAACTTATAGCTGGCTTAAATGTCTGCTGTTAAACGCTGTCTGTACTTAAGTATGAAGTAAGAAAACTGATCGAACAATTTATCAACACACACGAATCACATAGTATAAACACTATAATAAATACATTTTTTATTTTCTAATTTTTATCACCTGAAAATTACAAAGGAGTATTTTAAATTAAGGATAGTGAAAACAGAATAATCAGTTTTTTATTTTGTGGCTTACCTTTATAAAACTATGTATTAGTCATCCTAATAATTAAAAAAACATTTTATAATTGTTTTATAATATACTATTCCATTATAATGTTTAGTGAAATTGAGTTTAATCCTTAACTAAATATTAATTAAGTTGTTATTTTTTTGCAGACTATCGAAAATTCTATGTGGTCTATGTTAGAAAGTATAGCTGTGGGTACATTTTTAATGGAAACGGAGGTAAGTCAAGTGAGACCAATACAAATTTAGTGTGTTATAACTAATTGCACAGTTACATTTTCAATGCGGATTTGAGATGGTATTGTTCTTAAAATGAGTAGTTTTTTTCATATAAATAAACTCTATAAAATAAACCCGTATTTGAAACATAATTAAATCTGTAGCAGTTTAGATTTTTTTATTAAGAAAAAAAAGCTACACAAAATACTTTTTATAAAATAGTTCATTTTCACTAGGTAATACTTACTAGTTACTTATTGCGATTTTTAATATTTCCATACACTAAACATGTATGCAGAGTGGTAAACTTCACGTAAAACGATTTTTTTGAAAATAATATTAATTTTACATATATTTGTCTTATATTTTTATTGGATTTCTTACAACCATTAACAATTTTCTACTTAAAAAGGTAATTACATCAATGCGTTGCCTTTTTTTAAATTCACATCTTTTAAGTCTCACTTTTTTATTTATATTGTTTAGTTTTTATTAACTACAGTTTCGCATTGAACAACCTTGTAAGCTTTTAAGTTTAGAAGAATATCATAATCAATATTGGTAGAAAAAAATTGTATCAATTCCTATTCCTTACACAGTACTCAGCATTATAATAAAATCGTTTAAATAATGTAAAATATTTGTTTGTTATTAAAATATTCTCCTATTCAACAACAGACATATTACATAAGCTATCATTTCAACATCTATGGATCTTATAGGTGTTATAGATGTTAATTTTGTGGACTTTTTTCATATATAAAATACTATAATTTAGAAATGGTCAATTTTACTAAAATATAAATAATAATTTCTTTTCCTCTCACAGATTCAACTTCATTCCCAAGAGCCTGATTTAATGGTATGTTTAGTAATTCCATGGGTACGCGAAATTGGATTTGTCTCCTGCTACGGGTCTATTAACATGAAATTGTACAGGTTAGTAACTCCGTCGAAACCTATGAAAAAACACCCATAACGGGGCTACACAGTTAATTATAAGTATTTTGTTTTTTCTGTTGACGTCCGACGTTTGTTTGCAGAATCATGATGCATTTCCGCACTAGAAAAGCTCACCAATGGTCTATTCGTGAACATGACTTGACGGTGTATCTGTTATTAGGCATTTTCGCTTGTTGTCTCTATATGGCAGCTTACACCGCGAACACTTTGAACTATATAAATGAAGGATATGACTTAGTAGAAGAGAGAATTGCTCCGAACGGCAGTATATACAAAACATGCAAAGTTCAATGGTGGAGCTACGTCACGGAAACAGGTCAGAAGTTATTTAGTTTATTTTGTTTACAGTAAATAGAAGCCTCCTTCTTTGCTGTTTAGCTTATTGTCCTAAAAAAGGAATAGGATCTGGATGTCGGGTTTGACTAAACAAGTATAATGAAACCATAGAATGAGAGTAGAGTGTCTATTTCTTTATTCAAAGAAATCGTTTATCCTCAGAATAAAGAAAATCCCTGGAATTTGAACCGATAATGTTATAGTCCATTAATCCAATTATTTATAACTATATAGCGTTAGAAAAGCGTAGAAAAGTGCACTAGGTCAAGTATCTTAGGTCACAAGAAATTGAATATATCTATATATATATATATATATATATATATATATATATATATATATATATGTATAAGTAAATTTCAAATGCTTTATCAGAAAATAAACTTACAGAGTGGTCATCTTGACGTGATCCACTCAGTATCTCATAGGGTTTAATAAGAAATTTAATATTTTTTTATATTTTGTTTTATACAATGTGATCTCAATTTTTCACATTGGTTTTTTTACCACCCTCCTAATTTTGTGTTTTTGATGGCAACTTTTGATTTTCAAATAGCAAAACCTATTTAATTTGTTGAAATTATAAAAACATATAATTTATTATAATTTTATACAATATATTCAATGTACATACATATGAATATTAAATATTTATTTATTAGAATATTTGAAAATCATAAATGTGCTCCAAAAAAATAGCTACATCGTGAGTTTAATATTCATGTAAACGCATTATCGGTAAAGTAGGATTTTTAACTAACTAATATTGCCTACAAAACAAATTATCTGAAATAATTTCACAAACGAAATTTACACGAATTAAGTAATGCGTGTATATTCTAATGTTTGTTAAAACTTTCGCTAATAAATAAAAAAAGAAGTAAATTTTTTTTTTTTTTACTAAGTTTCATTTTACGATTTTGACATATTTTCATCTTAAGGATACTAATAGATTATTAGCACACACACATGCACACACTTGAGATTTAGGAAAGTCTAGAAAAACGTTTTTTTTATCTTACTTGTCGTCGAATATGGTAAACTAATAAATTACCATATTTATCTATTTCTGTCTCCCTCAACGACTTATAGCGTTTTTTTATGGGGAGATTTTTTTTATATCCCTGCTGACTGACGCCAAGTCAATAGTCAATCCGCTCATACACATTTACACCCAAGGGGATTTTGCGGTGAGCACGTCAATAAAAAGTATATAAATATAGCATAGGGAAAAAAACTGTTGAAACGACAGTATCACGCTAGTTTGTATCGTCAACAGTCGATTGTAGAAGTTTAAGAAATTCAATTTTTTGCAACGTTTGACATTTTTTGGCTTGCCTTTAGATATAAATTATAATACTCCACGCACCAATGTTTTATCGTACAATTAAAACTAATGACTGTGTTATATGGGCGTGTGCACACGATAGTAAATCAAAACACCAAAGCACATATCCGTAATATTTTACCAACAAGATGGTTCCTGCGATTTTATAGCGGCGGTCTTACAAATTACTTTCGGTCTTTTGTATTTTGTGTGCTGACGTGTGAGCTCTACATTGTACTATTAAACGTCAACGGTAAACTATAAACGAGCACACTACACATAACCTGTACAAAATAGTTTGTTTAATTAATGCAAACACTTTTGCTTACGTGTCTACTAGCATTTAGCGTGTCGAGCCGTTGATTTAGAACTAAATCCATCCGACAGTTCATTCAGAAAAGTCTTTTAAACTTGTTTATTACATAATATATAAAAAACTCGAAACACTGACGACTAAAGTACACTTAAGCGATAGAGCTCACCTGTAATCCCACACGAGTAGTCGTGCTTTTTTTTTTATTAGACAAAAATTCTTTTAGTCCCTTACCGCGTGTTAGGTAATTTGAATTTCGCTATCCTTTGCGCATTAATCGATAAGGGCGGCTTTTGCATGTTAAACTCACGTTTGGACTGTACAACTATTATCGACACTGGAAGAAATAGAACCCTGATTACGGTAATAACTTTCAATCATTTATACTATATTATTAGTAAGGTGACTAGAGATTAATGATGACTTTTGTTGTACATCTTTCAACTCGTGTCGCGCTAAAACGAAAAAACTAAATGTAAGCCCGAAGTCACAAAAAAAAAAAATAATAAGTTGCTATAATCAGCTAAACTCAAAAATAATAATTGAGTCCTATGCATTTCTGTAAGGTAATAATTACATAATATTATTGGCTTAAATATATTTAAAAAACATGATTTAAAATATACGAATATAATGAAATATTTAAGTAAGTTGACCTAAAATCTAGGTTAAATATTTATTTTACTGGTAAAATGTGAACACGAGTAAAAATAATTGCTTTGAATAAAGAAAGTTTACTAATTTGATAAGTTATTCTGTACAACATTTTCTGTATTTACCCAATGATTTTTAACATCAGTAAAGCAATATACTTTAATAATTATCTTGTAAAGTACAAAACATTTTTGTTCATACACGTCATGGACAAGATTAAGAAATTTAATTAAGAAAATCTAAAGTTTGTTTTCCTTTGCCTCGTCTGATTTATGCCGGCTTTTCCAGTTAATTACATTTCTTCCTTATTTAAACATCCAAAGTTTACTTTCATTTTTCTGTTCCATGTGGTTGCGCTAAGCTACCATATTAAACCGTGATTTTATTAGAATTTCGACTCTGTTGTACATTATATTAACTAAGAGATTCAATTAAAATTTAATTTACCAAGCACAAGATTACCGGTTACCAGCATTAAAATAAATGGCTTTAATAAGACGATTTCAAATTAGATTAAGTAAGTTTTGAGTACATTAATTATTGAACTTGCATCTGGTCAGGTCAATTACTTATTACATATAACTACTCAAAACGGCTGTTGTAGCTATTGTTGTAATATAAGGTTTATGGCTGTCAAATTATTACTAAATTATTACATATATACATGTTCTGACGGTATAGCAAGACTAAACCGACTGAAAATCGAAACTTAGAGAATCCCATAACGATTGATATTGTTAACAACAAAGTAACTAGGTACGTGACGAATACAGTGTTTGCAGCGTGTAATGGTTTGCTGACGATTTTTTATTGACTTGCGAGTACTCAAAAAAGCAGACTTACATCAACACGTGTCACATTATCGGCGAAACGTGCAGACGTGGCGAATTTATTTACACAACCCCAGTTTGTTTTTACTGCTCTGAGATCACAAACTCATCCTAGTTACCATACCAATCAAGACGGCTTATTAGAGTAAATAAAAAAAACGAGCTTCAGCCGTTGGCAACTGTTTGCCAGGAGAGTAATAATAATTTCGCAGAATTAATGTTGAACTTCAGAAAAAAAATGGGTTTTGTTCAAACATCGAGTTCCCTATTTGTATAATAAAATACAGACGTATTTTTTTTAGCTTTAACGCGGAGCTGAAGAGATTTTGTATTATATATGTTTTTTTGTGTATGTCTGGATTCATGGATTGTTCCTAACCAAATTTTTTTATATAGCAAGTCTGTAGGCATTCATGTCCGTAGATAAGATAATTGCAATCGACCGCAGTTTCCTGAGTAATTTAGTACTAAACATCAATCCTTCGTGCCAGAAACTGTCAAAAGCTTGAGATATGTCTAGAAGTACTGCAGAACAGTATGCCTTTTCTTCAAATGATCTCTCAATGATTGCTGTTACTCGATGAACCTGATCAATGAAAGGATGATGGTTATTAAAACCAAATTTATGATCTAATACCATGTTAATAGTTTGAGTTTATTAAGGAAAAGATTTTTTTATGGTTTTGATTTAGCTGGTAGTAAAAATAGTGGTCTCTAGGACGCAACGCTTTCTCAGGTTCGACCAGTTCCTTGAGCATGACAATGATAATCTAATTGGTTTTCAAGTTCTCAGTGGTACACTTCAGTCGGAAATTCGCATTCGATTTTTTCGATAACCCTATTAGTACAACCGGAGAATTTTATTAAGATTAACCGGTTAATGAAATTGAAAATTTTCTTGCTACTTCTTAGGGGTTAAACATTTAGATTTTTGATCTGGTAGTTCTATGACGTTCAGTGTGTTTGTTGATTATGTATAATGTAGTTTTAATTATACAGATTTCATTGAGGTTAAGAACAATTTCCAGTTGCAAAGTTCTCAAACTTTACTTTATAAAAAAGTCGTTGAATTCAGGTGATTGGGTAATTTAGAACGAACTATTTAGGTTTATGCTTATTAAAAAACTTAAGAAGTCTGAGCTAAAGAAAAAGTTTTTACTGGCGATTTTCATTAAAGCGGTTTTCAATTCACGCCAATACATTATGCATTAAAGTCTTTAATGATTATGCTAAAAAGTTTACACATCCAAAAATCAGATTTAAATTTAAAATAGATCCAGCCCAATAACATATCCATGTTAATTTAATTTAAATTTTAAGGGTAGTGTTCGAGGGTAAATTTTAAAAGTTCAATAATAACCTACCTTTATTCTTTTCTGTGTTCAGTAATTACTTGTTGAGCTATTAGCGTTTATAAGATAAGAACGTGATAAAAGGGGTAGGGGAAAAAAGAGAGGGCTGGACGGGTATAACGGTTTTTTGTATCCAATCACACTGCTCGACGCAATTTTCCCTAACACAGAAATCTGAAGAACCCATAATATACCCGCCCCGTATTGATATTGAATTTTGGTTTTGTTGCTTACAGGTGAACTTACAATTCTCATGGTCGGCATCCGATTTGCCCATGTTGCCCGCCACGCAGTTGTTCGGTACGATGAGCGCAGATTTCTTTATTACGCGCTCATGTCCGAAGCACTCGTGAGTACTTCGTTTTACGCCGTCCGTTCATCTCTATATGAGTGGACGGGCGGCAGAAAAGATATAATACTTGCGATTCTCTACGTGCGCGGGCTGCTGACCAACATTTTCACGTTGCTCATGGTGTTCGTTCCAAAGGTAAATGCAAAATTTGATAAAAATTTAAATAAATGATCATAGGAAGCATGAATAATACCTATATATTTTCCAATTGACTAGCTAGTTGTTTAAGTATTATACTTACTGTAAATAACTAGCTGTTGTTGGACCAGGGATGTTCGACGGCTATAAAACGTTTAACACGATGTTATTCTAAACAAATCTAGTATGTCGTTTCATATTATGAAATAGCATTGCATTGGGGATTCACTTAGCAGCTACAATATCAGTTAATGCAGTTGATTTACTCAGCAACAAAATAATATTAAATAACCAATATATGTATACATCAATTTCTCATGTTTAAGGAAACGCTCATTTTAGAGAAAAAAAGCCAAACACGTAAAAACTGCATATTACTATTTCATTAATAAAGAAGATGGATCATAAATAATTTTATTTTTATATTTTCATAATCCTCTAATAGAGTACAAAATAGTTAAATTTTCAATCGATTCATAATATTTAATGATAAGAATCCTATCCACGGATTTATTACCTACAGTTTTATTTGTTCAAACATTTTGTAAAAATAAGTTTTTCAAAAAAAAAATCTAAGATAAAAACGATTTTTTGGCAAAATTGGGAAATAAAACTAAAATGTATAGTTTCCTAAAACTAAAAAAACAGTATTAAATTTTCTAGTGTTACTAGGGTAACTTAATAATTAATGAAATAATTTACTTTAAAACTGTAAAAATAGATGTTTACAGTATAAATACATTTTAGACCTTTTTTTTGGAAAATATCAAAATGATTTAAAAAAAATTCTATCTTTGGTTACCAACTTTTTTTTTGTTCAAATGCTTCTCAACAGAAGAGTTTAAACTAGAGGTGTCTAGTTGTGAGTCTTATGATCGACATAGGCCAGAATACACCCATATAAGACTCACAAGCGCGAACCGCCACTGGTTTTAACACGACGCGACGTGTCTACAACATAATATTTATTCATACAAAATATTTGTTTTACTATACCCTTCTCCACCTCACAAAAAATTGGAAGCAAATATAAGATCACGAGTGGTCAATCCGGGCCCGCAAAAAGGGGGTGGCGATTTCTTTTAACTAGGCGGTCCCCCACTTAGCAAATAGAACCTAGTGTTGAACCAGTGACAGTAAGCGCTAACACTTTATGCTAACCCTATCGGCCATTCGTTTCTGGGAATTATATAAGATGTGTACCTAAATCCTTTTGGAGATGATATTTTCTAGAAATTGTAAAATGGTAACCATTGTTATCTGTAAAAAATAACTATATTATATAAGCACTTAAATGTAAAATATTAAGACGTAATATGTGAAACCCCAACAGTTTCTCCAGGATCTAGACACGATCTCCCGAGAAAAATTCAGCGTAGTAACATACCCAGACGGGACACCGGAAGAAGAATTTGTTGACAATGACGATGAATACAATTTTGATATACGTTCCAACACCAGACAGCTATTGGACCTTGCTTCACTTTACTTCATTTAAACTTTTTAATTCAGCGTATAATATACATAATAATATAGCTCAATATCTACAAAAATATACAATTAGGGCTTAGACCCAAATTATCCTTAGGTCATGCTATAAAAAAAAACTTAAATTGCTTTTTATGATTTCTGGTTTTTTGTTTTATGTTGTTATAGCTTATTTGTTTTACCATTTATCTAGTTTTACTTATTATATGTTTTGAAATTATTGTTTTTTGAACTTTGTTTTTTGTTTATAACTTTTTTCCGTTGAGCGATTATAAATATACATTATTCTATCTTGTTAGTAATTTTATTTAGAATCGATGTGAATATTTAAATAATTATCTATTTAACATACTATATATTATACTAAGTTATTACTACTTATTATATCTACATACAATAATACAATTATACTTTAAATTATATTACAAATTTGACTTAATCTCTCATATATTTCCTTATCCTAATGGACACAACAAAGGGCACTTAACAAAATTCTAAAAACGTTCCTTATTTAAAAACTGTGCAAAGCTTAGGTATGATACGTGTATGTTTTATAATTATTATGTCATGTACATCTGTAACTTCAGAAATTGTTACTATTTTTGCCAAATCGTATAAATACATTATAAAAAATCAACTAGTTGATTAACAAAAATCAAACTGTTAAGTATTTGGGCGCATACAATAATGAACGTTATAGCGGATATTGTTTTATTGACGATGAAATAATGTATTAAATACTTAACAAACTATAATAATAATGGACGCATTTTGTATTAGATCTGTTTCGAAAGACATTTGAACAAAGACAAGCATAACGATTCTACTGATGACCCTTTTGAGCCTTCTCAAACCGAAGTCGAAATGACTGAGAACGACAATAATTCAGACTTGAATGGCAATGATGTAAGGTTAAAGGTAAATATTTTTACCATCAAGAGATACCGGCTTATAGTGCACATTAAAATTAATTTCGGTCCTGATCACGGTTCGTATACAATGCAGACTTTGATATTGACATATATTTTATATTCGATATTGGCACGAACTTTGGTTAATTAGAGGAGCGCTCATAACAGTAATATCTATATTATATAGGAATCTTTTGGCTGTTGCCATGTAAAAGGCTGTTATTTTAATATTTCTTTGACCGAGGCCAGAGGATATATGAACGAGCAGACTTGACCGTAAGATATGATTATAGGACTACAACAAGGAAAGACGAGCTGTTGACAACATTTGAATGTTAAAATCAAACACCACTACCGCTTGTTATGCACACTACAACAATAACGCGTCAATTCCAAACGTTTGGTAGTATGTAGTAAAAGTTGCATAAGTGGTAGTAATAATACTTGTCATCTCGTTGTTTTTCGCCCATGCCACGTGGCCCGTCTTATTTAAGTCGTTAACCAACAGGCTTCAGTCGAGGAAATATTAAAATGCACGTAGAATACATGGATATTAGGATAAAAGGATTCCTGTACTCTTAGTTCTAAATAAAAATGAATACTAGTAGATCAAAAACGTTTGGATGTACTCTCGGTGTAAAAATTCGCCAACTTAAACAGTAAACCATAACGGTAAGTCATAAATGGTAACGAAATGGTCCAAGTCCTATAAGAGGTTGTGGTACAAAATGGAAAGAAAATTGCAATATCTGCTACTTGGACTTCTGTTTTTCATACTTGGCGAATTTTCTCACAGAGTACACAGAATGTTTTCGCTGGGATTAGACTATTGTCTCTATTAAACAGGAGGAACTCATTCGGTTGTATCAACAGCTCGAAAAAGACCGAATAAAATATGCAATGTACAAAAACCCACATATTTCAAAACGAAAAGGCGGTAAAAAATTGCAGCACAGAAGATTCTCAATACAGGTTTGAGCGAAAGCCATACATTATATTTATTAGATTTTAGTGTGTCGAACGAAATCCGTTAAAATAGAACGTTTAAAAAATAACGAGCTCCGTGTTTATGTTACTAAAAACACATCTCAGAAAAATGTAAGTATTCAACTAAAAAACAGAAAACAATACAACAAACATTTCTACTATACAAACGAATAATTTATCAATTAGCCTATTTATCACTAAATCAATTGACAGTCATATAAATAAATACGCTTACCATAAGTATATCATATTTAGCCACTGAGCTGATTTCTTCATGTAGAAACTCTATAGACCAGAAATCGTACCTCAGAAATCTCCTCTTCCTCGTCAAAATCGGAAAAACACCCAAAAAATGTTTATATATATTTCAACTTAAAAGTACGGCACGTCATACCTTTTTTTTAATTTATAATAATCCTTTATAGAAAGTGAGAAGATGATCCCTTTTGTTTTTTATAGATTTATTCAAAAAAAAAACGAGATGAATAAAATTAAATGTAATTGATGGTGTTTAGTTACAATCAAAATATATAAAACGATTTCATTAAAATGTTAACAATAAATTAAATAGTTCAACAGTCCAAACGTGCTTTATTTAAATAGTTTTTTTTTCTTTATTAGAAAAATATACAATCTATACACTAAAATATTTGTACAATAAGCATATGGTATGATTAATTAAAATTAACAGTGTAGCACTTGATTGAAGAAACCATCCAATGATGGAACTCCAATGGCTGGAAGAGTGGAGATTATGTTAGCAGGTCTCTACGCCATTTTCTTTTTAGGCGACGGGGTAGGTTTTCAGGAAGACTATTGGAGGCTAGGTCGGCAATTAAAGGATTAGGATGTCCCTGGAGTCTATTTCGGAATCTTTTGTAGTGATTTTTGGCTACTTTGACTACGGTAGGGAGGAAAGTGTCTTTGTGGAGCGTTTCGTTGGAAACATAAGGAGGTGCCGCAATGATGGTCCGAAGGACTCGGGATTGGAACACTTGGATTCTGTTTGTGTGGGAGATTTTTGCTGAACCCCAAAGTTCTATACCATAAGACCATACTGATTTGAGTAACATTTTGTATAGCGTAAGTTTTGTTTTTAAATTAATTTCAGATTTATTGTTTAGTAATGGCCGAAGAAGCCTTAGGCGCTGATTTAGGACTATTCTTTTCGCTTGTAAGTGGGGTGCCTATGTGAGACGTTTATCTATAATAAGTCCCAGATATTTTGTTTTGGTCTCAATTGGGATTTGGGTGTTGTTAATAAAAACTGGAGGTGGTTTTTTTTTTTGCGTAGCGTAAAGGTTACACGGGCAGGTTTACTCTTATTAATTTTGACACGCCATTTGTTATTCCCACTTTGACATTTCGTCAAGATGCAGTTGTAAATTTTCAGCGGCTACATTGGGGGTTTCGTGGATGGAAATTATTGCTTTGTCATCTGCATAATCGGCTATTTTAGTGTTGGGGGTGGTTGGTTGATCTGAGGTGAATAAATTAAAAAGAAGTGGGGTGGAGATAGCTCCTTGGGGGACGCCTGCTTTTATTTCATACAATTGAGATATATCACTGCCTACTCTGGTGGCAAAATCGAGTTGGCTGAGATAGGATTTAAAAAGTAAAAAGTAAGAGGGGTGTAGGATATGGTGAAGTTTGAGAAACATCTAAGAAAACTGTTGTACGGTACAGTTTTTTTTTTCTAGACTAAACGATATAAGATCAATTAAACGATGTGCCTGGTGGATTGTCGAATGACGTTCACGGAACCCGAATCGGTTGTCAGATAGTATATTTTTTCCTTTGTGATTGGGGTGATACGCTTTAAAATAAGTTTTTCGCACACTTTCAAGAAGAAGGGAGGTAGACTTATGGGCCTGTACGAGGTAGTGTCATTCAATGATTTGTTGGGTTTCGGTAACAAAATAATTATCGAGAATTTCCACTGAACTGGGAAGTAAGACAGACGCAGTATTCCATTTAATATGAATGTTAAAAAAATAATTGCTTTTTTGGCAACTGACGGGCTACTTCTGTAGTGATTATATTATATCAGAGTGATTTTTTTAATGCAAATGTATTATATAGTTTCGAACTTCTACAGGTGAAAAATGCTAAGGAGGTAATGTTATATCCCATAGGTAAAGGAGTTAATAAAGATTCTTCAATATTTTGTAGAGATGGGAGAATTGGGATATCGTGATGGGGTTGGAAAACTTTAGAGAGGTGTTTACGAAAAAATTCGGCTTTTTCATGGTCATAGATGGCCCAGGTTCCATCGTCTTTTTTAAGAGGAGGAATTGTTGAGTGAAAACGTAGAATACTTTTTGTTGTTCTCCATAATGATCAGTTTTTGGTTGAGAGGGAAGCAATATGCTTAATAAAGAAGTTTGAACGTAGCTCTTTTAATAAGTGTTTGACACGCGTTGACAGATTATTATAAAAACGTTTATCGGAAGGAAGCCGTGACCGTTGCCAAATTCCTCTTGCACGAGGTTTTTGTGCAATTAGGCCTCTAGCGAATGCAGGTAAGGGAAGAGAGTAGATCAGGGTTTGCTGTGATTTTGGGGCACATGACTCCTAGGCGGCAGATTGAATACATGTGGTAAAATTATTAACCGCGTTTTCTATGTCATCAGGTGACTTTAGACTTAAATTAAGATTGATGTAGCTATTTATAATATTTTGAAACTTAGGCCAGTTCATATTTCCATTTGTAAGGGAAGGGTTATTTAAACATTGAGGCACTAAGGTTTCAAGATTTAATAAAACTGGTGAGTGGTCTGAACATGGATCTAGTAGATTTTCTATTGTGTGAAATATGTGGTTTGGAGTTTTTGAGACAAATATTTCCGTTACATCGGGACGTTTGCTTGAGGAAGTAGGCCAATATGTTGGCATTTGTGGCAGAATTATTAAAAAGTGATTACTACTTACAACTTGGAATAAAGAATTTCCTCTTTGGCTGTTAGAATAACATCCCTATTGTACATTTTTGGCATTTAAGTCGCCGCCTACGATAAAACTGTGACCTAGAGTAGAAAAGTAGTTATTGTAATTTTATGAAGAGACCGAATGCCTAGAAGGGCAATATACAGATGCAATTGTAGTGGGTACATGATTTAGTATTATTTTTGTGGCAGCAGACTGTAAAAAATATTCATTAAATTCGATGTATTGGTAAAATTGAATAGTATTTTAAATTATAATAGCTGCACCACCGTGAGCAGAGTAATCCGTGTGATTTTTATTTATTGTTTTGTAACCAGGAATTGAGAATTTTGTTCTACTAGTGAGATGGGTTTCAGAAATTAAGGCTATGTCGATTTCTTTGCCAAGAAGTAGGTTTAGAAGTTCATTTTTATTATTCTCGTTTCAATTAGATGAACATAGAATTTAAATTAATATTTATTTATATAGTGTGTAACAAGAAAATGTTTAATAATTTTTAAATTTACATAGTCTTATACTTTTAATACTTACCTAAATATAAAAAAGAAAAATGTTCTATCCCTTTTGGACAAAAAGGTTTTCGTTATTTATTTGGTTGTCAATGAATATACATAAGTAGTACTAGTACAAGTTTGGAAGTAATTCAACTGTTTAAAAATAAATGGTTTGGTGCCGTAATTTTAAGATGAAAAATAAGTTAATTTTTGGGATGTGTGATGAATTTTTTTTAGTTTTTGACCAAATAAAATACTTTTTAGGTATGATTTTTAACCTATACATTTACTACATAAAGAAATCGGTTCAATGGTAACTGAATTTTTAAATTTTTTAAACCGCTGATATTTTCTAAAAAAATATCGTGGGTTCAGAAACGAAAAAATAAAAAACACATCATTGTAAAAGCAATTTATTCTAAGATCCACATAGGATCTAAGACAATATTAAAAATAAAAACACATTATTGTTAAAACAATACTCAGTCAGCTCCACATCGAAGCTAAAAAACGCCTCATTTGTAGGTAATATTTTTTTGTATTATTGTAAAAATTCAAAAACAATAATATAGGTAAACAAAATAATCAAATACAGGTTTTCAAAACTTCACCTAACGGCCATTTTTCTAATGAAATTAATATTTTAGTTAAAAAAGTGTCAAATAAAATGTTAATTTAAATTAACTACTAAAAAACAGTATTTAGTAATAAAATAATAATAAAAACCCTTAATTATAAAACTATTATAACACTTATTATTATTTTATTACATATAACCATAAGTGCTTAAGTTTTTTCTAGTATTTAGTGTTTAATTTATAATTGTTGTTTTAAATAAGTAAATTTTAAGGGTTATTATTTTATAATTATAGGTGAATTGAAAATATACAAGTTTGCCTTTTTTAAAGATAGCCTATTAAGCCACTTTTTGAAATAGTATATTTATCTTCAATATTAAAAATAAATGTTTATCATTAAATAATATAATACCTGCAAATTTAAAATAGAATTTTTAGTATTTAAATTTTATTATAAAAATATGTGTTTAAAGCAATAGTCATTAAACAACAAAACTAAATATTTTTATAGTTATTTAAACGAAACTAAAAAAACCAAAATCAAAAATTAGAAATCTTTGTGTACCAAATTTTTTTTTTTTTTGAATCCACAAAATTTTACAAACTCTGATTTTTTACAATTGTACATTACTATGTATTTCCAATACGATGTTTTCGTACACTCCTTAGAACGGAACTGTGGTTGGAGGACGCCAATGGCGGATGTAAACGCGTTAAATACCTCACATGCCCAATTTGTGTTGTATTGAAAACGCGTTTGATTTTTTTTTTATGATTTTCAAATTAGTATTATATGTATTCCATAGTCATCTATCAAGGGCCGTAGAAAATTAAAGAACAGGGATTCGTTTGACATGAGCGACACAAACGACACTACCGAGGTATCCAGATCTCCCGAAGACTCGTTGGGAAGCAACGAAGAGGCTCCTTCGAGTGGAAACACTGAAGCCAACAGTAGCTGTGAATGTTCTACTGCTACCGGCATACACTGCTCCAAGCACGCCGAAGTCGTTTGTAAGTCAATGCTTTACTAGATTATACTTACGAAATTTTTAAATATAAAAATAACATTATTCGACACGTTCAAATAAAAACTAATCAAATAGAAAAACTATATTATCATCTGTCAATTATTAATTCACTGTCAAAACTCATGGATCGCTTCAGATTCAATGATCGATGAGATATTACCAATATCCTATTGTATCTATAATTATCTTGTGGCGTTTGTTGTTACATAAGCACAACGACGAAGAGTCAACTCGTTGATTAATTACCATAGATAGCTAATAGCTTATAGATTCTTAATGTACTTCAGTGTGGCATAAGTAATGAGACATATAAAACTAAATTTTACCACCTCATTATTATCCTCTGCACGATAAACCATTTTTTTTTAAAGTATGGGTCATAAAAAGTTTGAAGTCAATAGGGCATTTCTGGGTTTGAAAGTTTTCTTTTGTTATTATTAATATTAATAAACCAATATGCTTTACGCTAATAAGCCAATTTTCTACATTGCTGCCAACAACAGCTGTTGTAATACAATCGGTTCAATAGCGTGTAAGTCGTTACTATTTCCAAAAGGTAAAAATTTCGTTGAGGACAGACTTATTAACGATTACAGTGAATCCCAATGGCTTGACTAGAAATGGGAGACAGAAGGAGTCTCTCCCGAAGTTCTTCAAATCGGCTATAGACATTTCTGAATCAGCATAAATTAGCTAATAATATATATTTTTTATAATTGTATTAACTAAAAAAGTAAACATTTAAAACAAGTACAACGGAATTGGATCAATAGTTATAGACTATGTATTTTTTTAATAAAAACAAACGAGTTGATAATTTCACATGTTGGTATTAATTATTACCACTCTTCGAGTAAAGCACTATTTCACTGGGTATCGTGTAAATTACATATATTTGGGGTTTCTTTTTCAATTATAAACAAAACATTTCAACGGGATAAATTATTATAGTTTTCAATAATTTATATTTATTTACATACCCAACGGCAGTTAAGGGATTATTTATCACCTCAACTGACATGCTCCGCGAGTAGGTTTTTTTGTTTTTATAATTTTTTGTGGTTTTGTTTTTGTATGCGAGTTAGAAGCGGTTTTATAGACTTTTGTTTGAGCTCCGATTGATGAGCCGTATCCGGATAAATAGCGGCCAAGCACTTTTCATTGTATTTTTTTCCCCCGGCGTGCAATTCATTGTTATTTTCGAGCATTTTGCTACAAAGCCAGATACAATACCGTTAAAGCGCAGTATTTTATGTTTTACAACAACATTTCCGTGTTCCGCAGGCGCTGTTCCCACCAAACGAACGGATTCAATTCCGTAATTACATCAGTGCCCGGTAGTAAATCACTATGATTATCGTTCCATTAAGTAATTATTATTTTGATCAGGCAACTGTTGAACTACCAACAATATATTGACTATGTTCATCACCAAAACGTTGTCGAGTTATTCCTTAATTTGATCTAATAGAATCACAAATTGGTTGAACAGTCCCTACAACCAAATGCCAAGTATGAATATAATGCGTACGAGTTCCTTGAATTCTTATATTATTATTACTATTAGATAAATTGTCATTTAATTGAAAAAACATTAACGGGAGCATTTATTAAGGCGCATTGTTTAATTCATTTTTCGATAAAACTTAACATTAAGCTACATTTTTTAAACATAAAATATACTTAAACAAAGGAAAGAAGTATAAATTTTGATAAATTATAAATTTTTTTTTCCAACTCTTATAGTGCTTTTAGGTACAAATTAGGTTATTATGGTACGAAAACATTTCTACTACAACGTACTGTTCCTAAGAATACTTCGATTTAAGTTTTAAAAACATTTGAATTCTTCATAACGTTTTCAAGGCATCGACTGTGGCACAATTTTTTAATTTTTTTAGTTAATTATTTCAATGTGAAAAACTGCTATTTTGAACCTTTTTTAATCTGAAATAAGAAATTAACAAAAAATAATTTTAATTAAATTTGTGCCACAGTCGAAACTTTTATGCAGAATTCAAATGTTTTTTTCAAAACTGAAAACGGAGTATTCTAAAAAGTTTGAAGTAGAATGAGCTGTTTTCGATAAAAATACACATGTGTAGAGGCCCCTTAAACAATGATTCCAGATAAATATGGAAAACATTTTTTTAATTTATTTTTTTTTCTAATTTTCCTCAGAAACGATGAAACGATTTTCTTTACTTCATAGGCCTAGGTAACTGTACTATATTGTCCTTCCCGAAGAATTTATTGTAAAATTAATCAATGAATTCGTTTTTTATATAAATCACTGAACAAATGTGTTTGTTACATTTTTTCAGGACGACTTTGAACTCTCAACATCAAATAGCATAGTTGTTTTAATTTCTAAAAAAGTAAACATAATAACTATTATATTTAAAGTTAATATAATACAAAAAGAATTCAAACGTTTATTTAATTTATTCTTTTTTCGTCAATAATTAAACAATGTACTTCGCCAGTTTTTTAAATCTTTTTATACATTTATTATTATTATTATTATGAATGTTCTTATTTTTTATATTATGTGTATTATTATTATTATTGTTATTATTATTAGAAATAGGATATTCCTTAGCGAAGTAAGACATGAATAATAAAAACTATTACAATTTAGACGTATATGTATTTTATAGTGTACAATGATAATTTATTAAACTTGTAACAATTATTATTATAACAGAACTCTATATGATAAAGTTGGATTTTATAAAAATACAAAATTCTGAGCAAAATACAATAAACCTAATGTTTTAAACATTTAACTACATCATTGGTATTAATTTTATCCTACGCATGTTCTTCCCAATCTTTAAGCAAATTATTTAAGAATGACTATGTACTAAATACTAAGGTCTTAATACAATAGTTACGAGTAAATATATATTCTTAAACTTAACAGTTTTAACTGTGAAGAGTCATAAAACCATTTATTATCGCCATATATTTTGTACACGAAAAATGAAACAATTTATTAAAACTAAACTTGGGTATTACAACATATATTAATATACGATCTGAAGTAATATATTAAACATATATATTGGTATAAAATAATTCCAGTCACACATCCGCAGAGCCAGATTCTATGAATGGTTCAAACTCAATTTAAAACTTCAGAAAACTGTCACATGGTAAGTAAAATTAAAATAATAATAATTATACTTACAATTTTAGACATTAAAATATTAAATGTATTTAATTACAATATGATACAACAATATTTCTGTTTAGGTATTCTAAATTAGGAGTCCTCCTCACGTTGATAGTAGATACGATTATAAGACTTCTTGTCCTTATACGATTTTAGGAGCCGATCTGAATATTCCTTTTAGATGTACAAATGAGAGAGAAATCAAACGAAAAGGTCTGTTATCCTTTGAATAATTCTCGGTTCAGAAACCCGTGAATACTAAAATCCGTGAGGATAAGAACCTCTAGAGACATTAGGGTCTTATCCAGTAATCAAGCCTGTCTATTAAAACAAGAAACTTATAAATTTTTTAGTCAATGGGTGTTTTTTGAAAAACTTTTGCAAATTTACTCTTCGCGACTGAAAACTAATTAACTATATAGACATATGTTGTTAATTAACCTAAGTAATTTACACTCAAACAAATAGAAGTTAATCAATGTTAGTTTTTACCTACTCCAATCAAACTATTTACAACCCCAAAACTCCGTACAAATGCATTTAGACAACTCATTGTATGGATGAACGGCGAATTTACATTAACAAAAAACAAATAAAAGGTCACAATTTGGAAATAGCTCCAACACGTTTGATAGTAATTTATCGCTTAACTTTAATTTAGCTCTAACAATTAATATACATTATACGATAAAAAAAAAATTAGCTGTTATAAATCAAAATATTGGCTTTTTATAGCAGATAGACTGTATTAAAGAAGAAATCTAGCTTGGACGAGTTACCTTGCTTAAGAATTATATTTAAAGAATATTTTGACCATAATTAGTGCGATAGGGTCTATTATAAAATGTTAGGCATGAGTGGCATTTATATTGCGGTTCATGGAAAGGAATCCGTTCGAGAAGTGAGGAACAAGAAATAATACCATTTACTAACTTAATTTAAGCTTCGTTTATCAATAATTTATTGTAAAACTATCTTAAATAAATAGCCTAATTACTCCCAATTTTGTATGAAATATTCTAAGATAAAATACTATTGATATACGTTGACACACCAAGCAATATCACCCCCTTTCTTACAGTAGGGATGAAAACTTTTTCTTTATTTCTCTTTTCCGAGCCAAGCTTAAAGTCTTAAGGTTAAAAAACTAGACTGAAGGTAATCTAGAACGATGTTATAACCCAATAATATAGTGTTTTTATTTAATAGTAATACATTTCACAAGTTGGTCTAACTTCAATTTTATCAAAGCTAAAGATAAATCTTAAGAAACTCTAAAAATGTGGTGGTGAAAATAAACTGGATGGCAGCAGAGAGTAAAGAGGAAAATATTATTAGCAATAAACGGAGTTTGATGGAATTTTTGAACATAAAATAAGGAAAAATAGAGAGAACAGCAAAATGACCTCGTAATTTCTTTATAGGACAAATAAATAAAGACTTCGCAGTTATGATACATATAAGGCCATAAGAATATTGGTAGAATTGGGGGAAGTGGAATAACTGACAACCAACCTACGGGTTTAACAGGTATGAACAATCAAAGAAATTAATCAATCGGAAAAATTGGTAATTTGTACTTACACACACAAAATATAAAAATAAGGTATTGAATTTCAACTTAAATTGTTTACAACAACATTAACTTCTATTTTCCCAAATTTAAGTACTTGAAAATTTGCTATTCTCTTCAAATTTACAATACAAGCTAAAGTAACTTGATGTGATAACATTCATAAATGATTGTATAACCTCAAAATTTACTTTTGAAAATATTTGCTTCACGTATCCGACAAACACTTCGGCTTGCAGTAGAGTGTCTTGAATAGAAGACGATTGTTTATCAGTAAAAATAATACGGTTTTCTGTTGCGAATTTTTTAAGTACGGCTGAAGATACACCGTCGTCACTTTTCCTTAAGGATTCGGCGGTATGCGTGACCATAGTGACTTGTGATAGACCACCTTTATCGTTAATGCATTTGACGATTTTAGATTCTACATCTGTTACGGTATTGTTGTCCAAAGAAGACATGTGCTTTGGATTCAGATCGGTCATTAGCAAACGAACGCGGTCGGTATCGTTTAATTTCAAGAAATCTGCATAATCCTTCACGTGACCGTAAAGTTTCCAGGTTTGTTTCTTCCGAAAGTTTTTGGACACCGTTTTTATGCACGCAAAGTACTTCCAACATATCCGCAACACTATTGTGTTCAACAACTCAATGAAATAATGATGGAATTCATAAAGCGACCGAACATACTGTTGTAACGGTATCGTGTAGTCTTTGACCACTCGCATTTTAGCATGCGCTAACTCTTTCAACGTGACCGCATGTTTGATGGCTCCGAATTTGGTCAAAATGTATTCCATTTTCCTAGTGTCGTCGATCACAAAATTCAAATACAGCCGGTTCAAATCGTAGTGTTCTATGCCTAGATCGTTCATACCTTTTGCGATGTTGTCTCGGAGCTGTTGGGCTTGATACGCTAAATGCTCGAACACCATCGCCGGATTGACTGGGGCGTTGACCAACTCCCGCATGTAAGTACTGTATTCGACTTTATTATCCGTAAGCGCTTCGTACATTTCACAACCATTCGTTTGCAGAGTGTCCCGGAAAAGCTCGTACATTCCGTTGTGCACTCTCTTAATGACGAGATAGAGTTCTGCGTTGTCATCAGACGCTATGTATATGGCTATCTTTTTCGAGTACAAGTAGTACAGCCACAATAGATTCACGTGTGAATACATCTCGGTGGTCGCACTGAGATTGTACACAGCGGCTAAGATTTTCTGCGGCCACTCGAGGTACCCGTAACCGGCAACGGTTTTGTACATCATCGACTTGTGCAACGCCTTTAATTGGGAAAACTCATAAAAATCCGGCCTGGTCAAATGCAAATAAACGGAAATGTTGTACACGTTATCGCATTCGATTTCCACGCAAACTTTTTCAACGAACGTATCCACTTCCTGTTCGTCGAGGTACAATAGTCTTTTATACTGATGTCCAAAATTTCCTCTATCAAACGCGTTGATTTTATTGTACTTATTCATCGCTTTTATTTTGTCGATGGATAATACTGCACAACCGGCCGAACAAACGATTGCTGATAATATTACAACGCACAATGAAATGTTCGCCATTTTGTGACTATTATTTAAGAGCATGCAAAACTTACTGACTTACTTACTATCATCCGCTCTAGTGTTTATTTTTTTTTAATTTATCTCTGTTCGGTAAACAATGTAAATAACCTACTTGTAAAAGATCGTGTCTAGATTTTGTTTGCAACCTTTCGAATGTAGGCCGTCTTAAAATGATCAATAACCGATTTATTTACATTCACGCAAACAAACATTAATATTTGCTTAACACGAAAACAACAGAGATGTATAATATAATTGATTAAAATCAATACTAAAAAAAAAAATTCTATGCATAAAATGTACATACAAGTAACTCCATTTTTTCCCCAAATGTCTAACCTACGGGTACCTATATTAGCTGTGTGGCAAATTTAGTTAGTACATCCTTGATTCCTAGTCCTCCTACTATTCAAATCAACTAGGCTCTAAGTACAACAAAATATTTAACTGAAAATACACCAATAAAAATTAATATATCAAAAACAGTAATGTGATATAATAAGAATTAACATATTACAATATGATTCAACTACAAATACAAATCATACTTTACCCACATAAATAATGAGTTTTTCAGTATTTTCAATAACTATAATATTTCCAACATATTTGGTAGGCTTTTGGGAAATGCATGTTTTCATATGCTACGATTACGATTTTAAACGTATGTAAATAAAAATCCAATAATATGAAATAGTATTGATCGAGTAGCTTTATTTTTTCCATGTAGACGGTTTGGATATATTATACATTGCGGTTCTCAGCAGAATGTCAATATACACAGTATAGGCGATGACTCGCATTTGCGTCGCCAAACCGAAAAAGATTATATAGATATTTTCAGTAAAAACTTCATCCAAAATTGAATCATCTAGACTAGAATCGTCCCAATGGGCCCAATCGAGTCGATTGATTGAGAATAGCTCACTGTAGCCGTTTCGTACACTTTAAAGATGTTCAGCGTCTTGTCCCCAACTTCTGCAACGTGTCAAAAAGTCGTTGGTTCGTTACAGCCATTATAACCACATAAAGTTTGTCCGACTTGAGATCTAAAAATGCTGTTAAACTTGCATTTTTCTAAACTTCGTTTGATTTCGAATGGGAAATTCATATTATTAACCCTTTTGATCCACTATAGTGCTTTAAATT